GGGTGGACGACGTCATGTGTTTTAAACATTTTTCATTTTTGTTCCTGGTTCACCAAGAAATAGTTGGCAGTAAATGTGGGTGAAAAGTGAACATTGGGAACATTGAAAAATCAAGGCAATACTGTCTTAATGAAAGCACTAATCATTATCTCTATATCAAATGAGATAAACAGAAACGGGTTTTAAGTTTTGTTGCAAAACGCCATTTTCAGGTTCTGTTTATAAGGATGTACAAGGACGCGTTCATGACATTTTCGATGGAAGTTTCCAATGATATGTAAAGATTCCGTGAAATGCAAAGTTTAGGCGATATTTTCATTTCAAGTTGTAACAAGGCAACGAAGAAACGAGGGTTATTTTCCTTTGTCGAGGGAAACAGACAGACTTCCAGCTCATGTAACCAATGTAGGTATGCCTATGGTGCAGAATATAGAATGAACAAGTTGCCTAGAGTATCCACAGTGAAGAATATCTAGAATATTTAGTTTCACTTGCTTTAAAAACAATGAAAATGATGGAAGAAAAACTAGCCTGCGAGAGCATCCTGTTTTTTTGGCTCTTTTTTTTTTTGCACATGAAACGAGCAGAAAAAAACAGGTGCCCTTGCATGCTAAAGAAAAACACAAGCAACTTAATTGAGCCACGTGTTTATGAGCTAGGCACAATTCAACTGGAAGTCCAATATTTTCGGACTTCAAATCGAATCTCTCCAGGGTCGCTTGTTTCCCGACTGCTGGTCAAGGGGAAGAAAGACTCTTGGTATCAGGCTGCTAGCATTCCAGTGGAAACGACCAACCAGTCTGTCCACAAGAACAATTTGTGATATCATCGGAGATTTCGATCTTATCTGATACTCAGTGTGTGTTTACCAACCAGTGCTTAATTTTAGCAATTTTGACCTTCAGGTTTGATTTGTAATACTTGATAAACAACTATAGTGAGGCCTCATCCACACTACGCCAGAGAAATTTGAAAACGCAGCTTTATTTCTACGGTCTTCCGTCCACAATAATTCGCCACAAAAACAGGCGTTCTTCAAACAAAAACACTGTTCAAACCCGAGGAATTTGAAAACACCGGCTTTGTGTTTAAATGTGGACGGAAAACATGTTCAAAATGGAGCTTTTCCAAAATGATGATGTCTCAATTTCCTCAAACACAAATCCAAAATGACCAGTGATTGTTACGTCTCCAACGAAGTGTGGACAGAAAACATTTGATGTGTTTTCAGAGTGATTAACACCCTTTCAAATTTCTCCTGCATGGTGTGGACAGGGCATGAGTGTTTGCAGTTCCAGGGTAGCCATTCAAAGTTAATGCTTACCTCCTGCATGAATACCTCCAGATAGACTTGCCACAAGTAGACTTCTACTTCTACAAAATGAAGTCCACTTGTTCCACTTGCTCGGATTCAAATTTAAAATTTGTATAAGTTTTGACATGAAAACATGGGTGTGACATAATGATTTACAGCCTACCCCTAATTCCCTGGGTCCGGTTGTTCAAAAGCCGATTAATGCTAATCCAGGATTAAAAGTTAATCAGAGTTCTAATTTCTCTTGAATAAAAGTGTTTACACTGTCCATGTTTCCTGGAGTTTGACATTAGTCAAACCCAAAATTGAGGGACGAAAAATTTGAACAGAAAACTTCATTGAAAAGTTACAAAATTGAAATAAAAATTTACACTAATCCTGGATTAGCTTAATTGTGTTTTGAACAACCCGGCCCTGGATTTTTTTTGAAATATTTCAGAGCGAGCGTACGTAAGCAGAAAAATAAACCATATGCCCAATAACCACAGCCATGTATAAGATCAGGAGCCATAATGATTATTGCTCTTGATAAGATCAGATTTCAAGACATCATTTATTTTAAGTTGAACAAATGATGGGCCAAAATATTAAAAGATATATAAAAAAAAACCTCAACTTGAGGTGTATTAAAACTGATAAGAAAACAAGAGGTTATATTTTTCTTCACCACACGACAAAAGGCGAGAACATTGAACATGCAAAAACGAAACCGAAAACAACAAAATTTCCATTCTTTTACTATAGAAGATAACATTTGAGAAAACACCGGAAAATAAAAGCAAAAAGACATATCTAAACAACAATTTAAAAACAAGAAATCAGATAATTTCTTCGTGTGTGACAAATAATGCAGCACAGTGAAAGAAAGATGAAGGCTTTAACTAAACAACACGACAAAAACAAGCCAATTATTTTGAGATAAGTTGTATTTCAACTGTTATTAGTGCCCACGTAGTTCTTTTCTCAGGAGTTTTGTAGTAGCTGAATAAAACTCCAAAAAATGTATTTGAACGAGGCAAATAAACTAAACAAACACAGCCGCGGAGGTCGCTGTAAATTAAATATGCAGAAATCCATGGGGCAAAAATACTGTTAACTTTAAAAACCTAAAATTTCCCAAGAAAGGTAACCAATTGAAAGAAACATGACAGGAAGTTCAATAACGATAAATTTTCATTCAAGATGAGGCAAAAAAAACTACCTAAAAACAAAAAAATATTCAAAATTTCGCAGACATGCTTTGCTGTGTGACAGGATGTTCAAATTAATTCTTCACGCTGAAGGGAAAGCTTGAGTTTTTGCCGACGGCTTTTGCAGTCATTTTATCAGCCGTGGCCTTGCTAGTCATTCAAAAATTTGAATTAAACTTCGAAGTAATACTGTACATTACCATTTTTGTTTTCTAAAGTCCAGGAAGCTGCTTGAAATCCGCAATCTGTATTCAAAACCCACTTGACAGCGCACCGACTTGGTAAACGCAAGTTTGTATTTACCTTCAAAAATGTCAAATACAAACGGCCTAATGGGGAATGTTAAACTCTGCAGATCGAGGCGGTGATCGCGACAACTAATGTATCCTTTAACTACTACCTTGATTCACTCCAATTTCTTCGAAACCGAGCTTCTTGAGCAAAACATCTTGTTTCAGCTTACCTGTGTTGTGTGTAGCTTGCAAAGAGCCCCGGTGCAAAACAAGTCATGAAGACCCTCCCTCAAAACAAACTTTGCGACTATTTGTCGACGAATGAACACATGTGACCTCGAAGCTTTAAAAAAGGCACTGTCGAGAGTCAGAAAAATCAACGAATACCAAATATACTTACTGACAGTTGTTCGGTGAAGGACAAATTAACCTACAGATGACAGGGGACAGACAATCCTCATACAGACTCGAGCCCGCTGAGTTATCAGCAGTTTAATTAATTGTAATCTTTATTTTCTTCGTCTCATTCATGGCATGCTCACTTAGCACAGCAGGTAGTGGACAAGTCCACATTGGAAAGTAACCGTGATCGACTCCAGGTGCATGTAGATTTTTTTTTTCCCTTTCTTTTTTCAATGTTTTTAGCGATACAATAAATAAATGCTCTGTGTTTATATCATTTCGCTCGCCATATGTGCATTTACCATACCATAACGGTGTTTCAACAACTTCTATTTCTGTAAAATCCACATGAAGACCGCATCCAGTGAGAACTTGCTCTGCTCATCGATTTTGCGATTCTCGATGTTCTCGTTTTCGGTGGCCGAGTCTTCTTTAACTTATATCTTTAATTTAGACCTTTAAAACAGCTTATTTTAATTAAAGATGGACAGCAATTAAAAAATAAGCCGCGAGCGTACCTAATTTGCATAATGTTAACAGCCCATCGAGCGCGCGACACATTTCCCCACAACTCACGATAACTCATGTTGCGCATGCGCAATTCACAAGTTAAAAATGAATACAAATATGCAATATATTAAAAGTTTAAAACCTAAAATTATGAGAGACGCAAATAGTTGAATTGAGAAGGAGGGAGTATGTGCAAAGGCAAAATTTTGGTGCCAATTAACCCCTGGCGTGTTGTTGATTTTTCTTCCGACATATTCCTAGCACATTTTTTTTGTCATTTAAAATTTAACTGGAAAAAAGAGCAAAACCACATGCTGAACAATTACATGCTCACAATTGATAATTTTTGAGTTTCTGGTCCAAGAAAAACAAATCCTTCTTTTTCTTTATGATTAGTTACTGCAAGCAGGAGTTCCACTTTTAGGCTTGGTTAAGTCTATATATTACTCTTACATCTACCACCTCTAGACAATAGTGGTGGCAAGCAGAATGGGATTCCATCCCCCAAAGCAACTTAAAATGACCATAGAGTGAGAACTTGATGCTTTTTTAGTCAAAGGTGCAAGTCAGTATTTAAAATTAACTGGCCTTAAATACCCTGAATTTCAGTCCTAGTCAATCACAAAACACCCCCTTTTTCAACATAAAAGGAGTGTGGATATATGGATAGATGGATAGATAGATAGATAGATAGATAGATATACTTCTTGAACTTGAACAGAATAAATTTATAGAGCGCTCGACTCTGAGAGGAGCAGTGCACATAATAAACAATGGTAGCAAGACTTCAATTCATTGTTTTAGTGCGACAACGCTGTTTCGTATGGTCAAAGGATGACCACACTCATCAGGCAATATCAATTCGATGATATTGATATTGATATTGCCTGATGAGTGCGGTCATCCTATGACCATATGAAACAGCGTTGTTGCAATAAAACGATGAATTGAAGTCTTGCTACCATTGTTTATTATCTATATATATCTATCTATCTATATATGTATATATATAGTTAACATTTCTTAGTGAAACTGATAGAATTTTTGACAAAAAATGTGAACCCTGGATTACACTATTTGTCAACCTATTAAAAGTCCTTGCCAATATCTTTCAGCCTAGAAAGTCACCACAAAATTTCTGACCCCAAAGTGTCTGCAGAAAGCAATTTTCAAAGACAAACAGAGCTTTGCACCTTTCTTTAACTACAATTACTCCTGATTATTTCCCTTGGCCTAACATCATAAATCTCTGAAATGTTTTGAGTCTAAAACTCCATGCCACCTTGATGTATAAATAAGGTCATAATCAGTTTTCTAAAAATTGTAAACTGGGTGTATTTTAATTTTTAGGAGGATATCATCTCAATATGGAACAGAAATGCTGCTGACCAAGCAACAACAACAAGAATAAGGTGAGACTGAGTTGTCATCACCTTACCCACCTTGATATGGTAAACCTCAAAAATTGTTACTAATGAAATTGCTTTTAGCACCCATTTCAGCAACTTCTCCTGCATTGATGGGCATTCTTAGAAAAGGGTCTGAATTCAAGCTGTTCACATTTGCTCTAGATTTGTTAATGCTTTGTAGTATTAAAACTATTTAAATGTTGCTTTTGACTCCATGATGCTGAGTGAAGCTGCAAATTATTAGACTAGACTTTGAAGCATCATAGTGGTCAATGTAAATTAAAAGAATTCTTGTTCAAGCATGATTGACATCCCGAAATTGAGCATAATTCATGCAGTGCTGTTCCCTTGTATCAGGAAAAAAATATGACTCAAGGTTTTAATTTTTTCCTGCTTTCTGTATTGTGAACTGTATGCACTTCTGAGGATGTAGATTAGTCATGCGGGTGATGAAAACGTGGAGCCACAGAAGTGCACAGTTTCTGTGCTGATGAAGTCATGAGTATAACATACCACTGTAGTGTGGTACAATTTACAGCACAGAAAATAGTTTTTAGTAAAAGTTCCTAAAACATAGAGCAGTAGAAAAGCATCGTTTTTAATGCAGAAGATCTTATGACCAAAATGTAGAGTAGAGCTGGCGAGTACATGATTTGTAATGCAGACCCAGAGACAATAGCTGGCTTAAAGTGCCTATGAAGTAAAAAATAATTGATGCTTATTTGAAAGGCTTTTCAAAGTAAAGAAGAATGGCATTTTCGTTTTTGGAATATCTTTTTTTCATTTTAGAGATATTTATGTTTTTGTAAGGAAAGTGATGACGTCATAGGTGGTTCCACTAAAAGAGCACAACGCTCAATCGAGAATAACTCTAGAAATATTAAAGCAGTGTTCTTTAAACTTGGGACCAGAAATGTACATCACAAAAGAAACATAATGACACCCGTCGTGCCATTGCTATGACAACAGTTATGCTGCTAGTTCTGTTTTAATTAAGACTAAAATTCCCAGATTTTATCTTAAACAAGGATCATCCACTCCCACCAATCTAATGGGGGGAGTTAAGACAATATGGGAACCATGTGTGCTCCGAGCAAGACCCTCTGTCCCACTTTAAAAGGTTGCAAATGGGGACACTTGGTTTTTCACAGAAAGAGACTGGAGCCAAGAGTGTTTGCATGGCAACAACATAGTAGGAGTCATTCTGTTTCTTTTGTGATGTACATTTCTGGTGCCAAGTTTGAAGAACACTGCTTTAATATTTTTAGAGTTATTCTCAATTGAGTGTTGTGCTGTTTTAGTGGAACCATCTATGACATCATCACTTTCCTCATGTGCATAATAGAAAAACGTGAATATCTCTAACACGAGAAAAGATATTCCAAAAAGGAAAACGCCATTCTTCTTTACTTTGAAAAGCCTTTCAAATAAGCAGGAATTATTTTTTACTTCATAGGCACTTCAAGACATCTTGTCAATGTTCTACAATCCCAGACCAAAAAGTTGGGACACAAAGCAAGTTCTTCCCTCCCCCACTTACAATGTTGATAATCAGGAGATTTTTCCCCTGTTTGTTAAAAAAAATGTGACGTTTTCCAACATTGATTAGGGGATGGGGGATACGTGATCTAGCTCAACTATACCAACTACTTTTGTCCAGGATTGTCTGAAAGAGATATGCGAGAAATTTTCTAGGGATGGTAACGCCAACGATCGTCATGGCATCACAATATTTTAGAATTTTGATTTCGGGTCAATAAAGTACACTTTGCTTCTGTACATTGGACAGAACTTTCCTACGTTAATCTAGATTAAGGCTCGGTGCAGATATTCATGGAATATAACTCGTAACTGCCTGTAATAAAACGAAATTTGTGATCTGTCTCAAGCAAAATGGCATTCAAAGGAAGGTTAGAGCTTGTGTCTATTATTTAGGACATTTTCCAGGATTATTAATTTGCAAAGTAGAAGCTCTTAGTGTTGTTTCACAAAATAGTCTTCATTAAATAAATTGATTGAAGCTTATCCGTGTACAGTAATCAGATATATCACGATTACACGCGACACAACAACTTCCAGGTTCCATGCATTTAAATAACGCGCACGAATAGTGACAACGGTTAACCATTTGAAAGTCAGCATTTTTCAACCTAACCTTTACTGTTCTTCCCAATTGGCAGAAGGTACAAAAATTTCTCACTTCAAATCATTTGAAATGCAGGATGGAAGCAATTTGATGGCAAAATAGTCAAGTTTGACACTTGAAATATGGTTAACCATTTGCCGGAGACAATAAGTTAACTACATAACTATCCTTTCTACTTCAATTGAACAGTTAACCATATAAACCTTCTCGCAAAGCTCTGTTTTGCTAGTTCTTGATCCCAAACAATGTTACATAGGTTTTCATAATTCCTTTCAAGCGGAAAAAGGTATAATTTGAATGACATGAAGCAGTTTGGAACCAAAATGTTTTACCACCATGGTCAATCGTAAGGATTAATTGCGGCGGTTAACCCGGTGACACTTCTGAAGCTGAGAACACACCTCGCTTTATACACGTTCCAGTATTGAAAAGGAAAATGAAGAGAGACGTGCATAATTTAATCACGTTTAGGTAGCAGCAACGCTTTATTGCTATCCACTGATAAACTCCGTGAAACAGCTACAACAAGGCGAAAATATCCACTTGCTCGGTACCCACTGTTTCAACTGAATTTGCATCATTTCTGTTTCATGCAAATCAACCACCCCTCTAAAGACGTGGACCAGATTCTCTTTTTCAGTGCAGGATATAGAAACATCCTTTTCAAACACAATGTCTTGTGCATAGTTGGATTTTAAGGGCGAACAAGTGAGCAGTTTGCCCCTCGAGAAGCAATAGAGTTTCATGTCACGGACTTATCAATCGCCTACCGTTAGAAGGTCATTTAGAAAGATGACTTTACGTTCTTAAGTGCCTACACAGTTAAAACTTGTCGTTGCATGTTGTTTCTTTTTAGTAGCACCCGTTAGCTGTACCCGCGAGATGGCACAACTCCCCTTTTCTCCAACCTGTTTTACAGCGAGTTGTTTGACATCCTTTATCTTGTTTCAGACAATCCCAGACAAAAAAGTTGGGACATGAAGCAAGTTCTCCCCTCCCCCCACTTACAATGTTGATATTTTTCCCCTTTTTGTTGAAAAAAATGTGACGTTTTCCAACATTGATTAGGGGGGATGGGAGATATGTGATCTAGCTTAACTGTCCCAACTCCTTTTGTCCAAGATTGTAGATGGTAGCCAAAACCCAACTTTATACTGCATAGAATATAGGCATCCATGGCAACGACTCTGAACTAGCTGAACAGTTGGAAATAATATTATTTGTAATGTAAGAAAGTAGACAGAGTAGAGCTGGCAATGCTATAGAACACAATTGCCGTACACCTAAAGGACCTGAAGAAATCTACGAAAATGTCTGCGCCATAAATGACATAAATCAAAAGCCCTCTGGGCTGCCTTGTGTCATTAGTACTGGCTTGTTGAATCGATAAAATTGATGATTGATAAAAATCAATTGAAATTATTAAAATTGGATCGGAAATTTATGAAGGGATACTCTGTGAGTATTGATTTTTAAATTATTTTTATTGATTTTATTGAAGTTATTAACATCAGCGCAAAAAGGCTCCAGTTATTGAAGGGCAGTGAAACATTCGAAATTGAACAGATTTACTGAGGTTGGGTTCCTTTAGGATTATCCAGATCAGGATCAGTTTTCTGAAATCACTAGGGTCATAATGCCTCTGAAGAAGCAGTTTTATAGTCGTGGATACGCAAAGCGTATAAACGATTTCAAAATTTCAGTAAAAAAGCGATCTTGTTAAACATATATATCTTATTAGACGTTTTGGTGTGTAATATCGCTGTATATTTTTACGAGCTGTGCTGTATGGGTGAGTCAAAATACAAACAAGTAAAAATATACAGCGATACTACACACCAAAACATCTAATAAGAGATTTATTATCCAACTGCTGTAGTCAATAAATTTATTAATGAAAGAAGGAGAGTGTGACAGTTTTGCATGCATGTGCCGACCTGTACAGCAGACAGGTTTTCTTCTGTACAAATAACTGTACAATGTCGCTGTATATCTGTATTGTTATTTGGACAGTATTTGCTGCAGTTGGATAATAATTAACAATTATTCCATGAGAACACATTGGATATGAGATGGTAAATAGCCAACGAGGCCCGTAGGGCCCAGTTGGCTGTGACCAATCTCATATCCAACAAGTGCAAATGGAATGATTGTTTTATTAAATTTCATTATTAAATTCTGTATGCTTGCATACTTGAAAATTATTGTTTCATTTTATTGGATTCTGTTTTAATTTTACAAAACAAACAGAAGTTGATGAGACAAAAACAACAACAGGTAGAAAATTTGAAAGCCAAGCAAGCAATTCTGCTGAACTAAAATTACAATCAAGTAGAATTCAAGAAATGTCTACCAAATGGTGGAGATACGACCTTGGTCAGAAAGTTTGAAAAGTGTTCAAGTTTGAGTCATCTAGAAGTGTAATAATTGTGCACTTGCACAAATACTACAGAAAACTTTGATTGCCATGTGACACAGACGTTGTGCTAAAATTATTCTCGGCAAGAACTATTTCACCGTTCTCGTGTTGCGAATGCCTTAGTATTTCAAGCTGCATGAGTGTAGCTGATTGCTGGCAAGTTTCAGAATCATGGACAGAGACTATCTTAGTTTTGGACTCATCTTCAGAATCTCNCAAAGACAAACAGAGCTTTGCACCTTTCTTTAACTACAATTACTCCTGATTATTTCCCTTGGCCTAACATCATAAATCTCTGAAATGTTTTGAGTCTAAAACTCCATGCCACCTTGATGTATAAATAAGGTCATAATCAGTTTTCTAAAAATTGTAAACTGGGTGTATTTTAATTTTTAGGAGGATATCATCTCAATATGGAACAGAAATGCTGCTGACCAAGCAACAACAACAAGAATAAGGTGAGACTGAGTTGTCATCACCTTACCCACCTTGATATGGTAAACCTCAAAAATTGTTACTAATGAAATTGCTTTTAGCACCCATTTCAGCAACTTCTCCTGCATTGATGGGCATTCTTAGAAAAGGGTCTGAATTCAAGCTGTTCACATTTGCTCTAGATTTGTTAATGCTTTGTAGTATTAAAACTATTTAAATGTTGCTTTTGACTCCATGATGCTGAGTGAAGCTGCAAATTATTAGACTAGACTTTGAAGCATCATAGTGGTCAATGTAAATTAAAAGAATTCTTGTTCAAGCATGATTGACATCCCGAAATTGAGCATAATTCATGCAGTGCTGTTCCCTTGTATCAGGAAAAAAATATGACTCAAGGTTTTAATTTTTTCCTGCTTTCTGTATTGTGAACTGTATGCACTTCTGAGGATGTAGATTAGTCATGCGGGTGATGAAAACGTGGAGCCACAGAAGTGCACAGTTTCTGTGCTGATGAAGTCATGAGTATAACATACCACTGTAGTGTGGTACAATTTACAGCACAGAAAATAGTTTTTAGTAAAAGTTCCTAAAACATAGAGCAGTAGAAAAGCATCGTTTTTAATGCAGAAGATCTTATGACCAAAATGTAGAGTAGAGCTGGCGAGTACATGATTTGTAATGCAGACCCAGAGACAATAGCTGGCTTAAAGTGCCTATGAAGTAAAAAATAATTGATGCTTATTTG